CTGTCCACTGAATCGTCCAACAACAGGGTTTGCAGGGCTGGCTCAGTCCACGGCTGCCTCATCACTAAGACATATAACAAAATAAGCTAAGAGAGACAGAGATAATATTAATAGGTTTCCATTCATATTATAGTACAAAAGAACAGTGCATTTTAAATAATAAAGATATTTTGATAAATTACTTGCTTTTTAGCAGTAGTCGTGGTCTGCTGGTACCTCCTCCAGGGCAGACACCTCAGCAGACAGCTGGTCCCGCCAGCGAGCACCGCTGACTGCCTCCAAGCCAGCCTCCCCCTCARCCTCCKCTCCATCTTCCTCAGGCTCATCCTCCGGGGCCACGATGTCACCAGCACTGAGACAGATGTTGTGGAGAATGGTGCAAGCAGTGATGACCTACAATAGAGGGGAAAAAAACAAAATTGGTATATAAGAATACATATATTTCTATATTTAAAGAATGTGAGATGCCACTGTGTGTTCACTTACATGAGGTACAAAGGTGTGGTGCACCTCCAGCGCTTGCAGGAAGATGGCCCTGAACCTGGTCTTCATCATCCCAAAGGCACGCTCTATAATACAGCGTGCCTTGGAATGATGGCTGTTGAAGCGCTGGACTCCCGCACCTTGCACTGGCCGTTTTGTAGGGTGTGATGAGGGGTAGTGGACGTTGGAGGCATGGGTACCCTCCATCTGCGAGGATGAAATGCCCTGGAGGTGGGTAGACAGACTGCCGGTACAGTGGGCTGTGGCGGAGCACCCTGGAATCGTGCACCGACCCAGGCCAGCCCACGTACGTGTCGATGAAGCGGCCCTGATGGTCACAAACTACCTGGAGGATGATGGAGGGGAACAGTTTCCTGTTCCTGTAGCACTGACCATCAGGGCCGCTTGGAGGCTTGATGCGAATGTGGCAGCCGTCGATTGCACCTGCTGCTTTCAGGAAGGCTCTGTGACCTGCCAGCCCTGCAAACCCACGGGACACTACCTCCAGGTCTTCAGGGGTTTTAGGGAGGTGGATGACCTGGTGGCGAATGGCCACCACCTCCTCTGTGATCCGATGGACGATCCAGTGGACAGTTGAAC